ATGCCCTTTCTCCTGGTAGTAAGGCCAGGAGCGCCCCTAGTAGCGTCCTTGCTCCGTTTGTAGCGATGCCCTTTGTTACTAGTAGCGATGCCCTTGCTCCTAGTAGCGATGTGGCATGTTGGTTGGGACACAGACTTTATAGTTGGGGATAGGGCCTTTGATAGGGCCCAGTATCAAAGTCTGAGCGATGAGAAGTAGACTAAGTAGAGAGGACAGCTTAGGGGAATGCCGTTCCCACAAAGGTTAAGAACTTCAGACCTTTCCTCTTCAATCAAATGTTGCGACATGTCAGACAGCTTTCTATTCCTGGGGGAGAGCTGCCCTCTTGGACAGGACCAGGAGAATTTCAGATTTATATAGTTCTGATAGCATAATATAATCATCAAATTATAATATAATGATATCAGTTTTCATATCATATGGCATCTTGCTTTGTGGGAGCGCGCTACATCATACATCCCTTTTTGCTACGTGCCCGAAAACGCGGTCAGACATGAACACTTGTCACCCTGAGGCTTCTTGACTCTCTCGAAGTTCTGCAAACGGCCGGACTTCAGCCACTTCCAGTGGTGGGGCTCTGAGCAAGTGAGCACTCCCCTAAGACATATGTAGGTTTCGCATCTCAAAAGTAGAAGGTCAGCATAGGCATAGACCAAACTTCATTGGCAACTGATGCAAGCTTGATTGATGGAGGATTCTTCCATGCACTTCACAGGCTTTAACCGTAACCCTTCATTGAGCTCTTGGGCCGGAAGAGAGATTCTTTTTTCAAGATCCATGTGAAACGGTACTCATGACCAACAATAGTAGCTGGTCATGGTGCACACCACACACGCCTTCTCCTTCAAAGTTTGTTTTCATCTACTTTGGAGGTCTCGTTCGTTGCTTGCCGTTGCTTGTCGGTCTGGCGACGGTCACAGGTATCTCCAACACATCGAAGACTTCCGGAAGGACCAACTCAGTCACTTGGGCGAGGCCGTCCGACGTGGCCGTGGAGACGTCGACTCCCGTCGTCGTCGACTACCGTCGTCGTCGACGCGGTTTCGCAGTTTCGGGGATAGAAGGAGCTGCTAAATCGGATCGGGGATCCTTAGGGTGTGCCTGTGTCTCGCACAGCAGCCTGCGTGGCTTTTGGACTTGTCATCTACAAAGCCACCGGTCCAGCCCCCAAACCAGTCTCACCAATTCCACCAAGCTATCCCATCCAGGGTCATCCGTCGATTCTCCAACGTGTCCCTTCCAACATGGCGGATTGGTAGATGTTGGTGGTTACCGGGTGGTTTGGAAGAGCTTCCTGTCGATTTGGTTCCCATGACGCAGGTGGTCTACCTGGATTATGCGGGTGCTGCCTTGTTCAGTCGCGCCCAGCTGGCAGCCGCGCAGGAGATCCAGGGGCAATAATTTCTAATAATTTGATGGTGAGTTCGGGGATTCCACAGAGTTCTGTTTGAATTTGGCGTTCATATTCACACCAGTGTTGTTTTTCGGGTGACACACACTTATAGAAATGCGTATTGATTCGGTTGCAGCCTAAGTGACAAACCTAAGGCTCCAGGTGAGTTAAAGACAACCAAAGCAACTTGTATTCTCCGTGAGGCCTCAAAGAAACCTCCAAAAAGTTCATCAACTCGAAAAAACCGAAGAGTGTGCGAAATCGACAGGATGACGGCGATCGTGCTCATCTGCAGAACTCACTAGCACTTTACAGCAGCCTAATGGACCTGGAAACAGCCTGCACGAGGGTGAACCACTGGAGTCAATGTGTTCGAAGCAGGCACGTCAACTCGGCGTCCCGAGTTGATATCACAGACCAATGCAAGCGTCATTGTCAGTGCCAGACTTGCATGGTCCCTGGCACCCCCTGCATTAACAATCCAACTGCAAGGGTTACACACACACACAACGCCTCCTGAAGGGAGGCGAAAAACTAAGGTTGAGGCGCAGGTGCACGTGTGCGCGCAACCAAGGACAAAAAGATGAAGACATGAACAGAGGACAAGACAGGACAAAGGTGTACGTACGTGGTTGCGATGAAAAGGGAACCAAATGCACAGGGACAAAAGGTGAGCCAAACCTCATTACCAGAACCTGGGCGACCTGAAACCTAAATGTACAGTAGACGTGCGCGTACAGACTAAGGCCCGGACCGATGTGCGCGCAAGAGAAAGAAAGGAGTGAGATGGCAGGACATGAAGCAAGGAAAGACATGAAAGAAAAGAGGAGAAAAAGAAGTGTGTGAAGTGGAAAGGATAAAAAGGGAAACCAGATGAAGGGGACGGGAACCGATGAAACCCAACCTCATTACAACGACCTAGGCAGACCTGCCTAGTTAAAAAGTACAGGCTGTGTGTGCACCTAAGCTTACGACGGCTCCAATGAGCCTTGAACAAGCTTCGATCGCTGCGACCACCTCGTGGCATAAAGCCTATTAACGTCCGCTGCGGACACGTTCTGGCATGCTCGAAAGCGGCCTTCTTGGAATTCAACAATTCAGCAAGTCTTGGCAAATAACTTTGGCACAAGCCTACTCCGCCCGCTGTGGGCACGTGCGTTTCCAAAGCAAGGGAAACAACGACAACCCCCCGTTCAACGGGTCCACAGCCACTCGTCGGGGTCACCCTGGGCTGACACGAAGGTCAGACACTTGTAGAAATGTGTACTGACTCGGTTGCGGTTTGCCACACGCCGGCCTAAGTGCAAAACCTAAGGTTCCAGGTGAGTTAAAGACAACCAAAGCAACTTGTATCCTCCGTGAGGCCTCAAAGAAACCTCCAAAAAGTTCATCAACTCGAAAAACCGAAGAGTGTGCGAAATCGACAGGATGACGGCGATCGTGCTCATCCGCAGAACTCACTAGCACTTTACAGCAGCCTAATGGACCTGGAAACAGCCTGCACGAGGGTGAACCACTGGAGTCAATGTGTTCGAAGCAGGCACGTCAACTCGGCGTCCCGAGTTGATATCACAGACCAATGCAAGCGTCATTGTCAGTGCCAGACTTGCATGGTCCCTGGCACCCCCTGCATTAACAATCCAACAGGATCCCTGTGACTCTAAGGGTTACACACAGACACACGCATATTGTTTACGAAGAAGTAGATGCAGAGGGAGGAACCTCATTTTCTTCAGAGAACTGCCAACCTCCTATCCTCAGTGTTTGTATCATCCCTTAGTAGCCCAATGATTTGTTGCTTTGTTCTCAAGCACTGACTCCGATCAGGAGTTGCTGCTGACCAGTAGTCTTGGCAATCCCCACAGCTCCAGGGCCAGCGAAGAGCTGTTGGACCGAAGCCGAGACTTGGTTCTGCAGGGGCCCCAGATCCGGGGCTGGCCGACACCTGAACGCGCACTTGCGCACAGTAGAGGATCCAGCAGCGTCATTTCTGTTGGTGCATGCCAAGCCCGCAGAGAGCCCTGAAGAGGAGTCTTATTGTTGTATCACTGTATCACCGCAACAACTGCAGCTACGACAATGCAGCACTTACAAGTACAGCTCATACAACTGCCACCCTCTTCGCTCACGCTCGCGCTGCTATTGCATGCTAGTACTGCGGCTCCTCTCATAGCTGCGGTAAGCGCAGTGCTTGACATAGCAACACGATACAGCTTGTCATGAATATGTATGCTGTGCATTGCTGTGCGAAAGTGCGGGTCTTTGATGGTCTTTGTTCACTCTTCTCTCTCTCTCTATATATATATACATATATAGAGACCCTTCGCACCTCCGGTAGTAGCGAGTAAAAAAAATACTATGAGCTGCTTCATGGGACAGCTGGAGCATTTAAGCCGAGACGTGCCGGCCCGGCGTGTCGTCCAGGCACATGTTCCGGACGACCAGGGCGACACACAGCGTGGTTTTCACCTCTGGTGCTACACAAAGCCTGGAGCTTCTAGGAGAGCATTATCCTTGGACAGTGAATGGTGGCTGCTTTCTCTACGCAGATGAGAGCCACACCAGTCACTCGGGATCCAAAAATGGATGGAGGGAATTGACACCACAGACCCTGAAAAGTGGTTCTTCAGCACCTCTCAAGCTGGGTCTTCAGGAATTTTCAAGTCCTTTGTATGGTAATTGTTCCATGGCCGAGGTGGAGTTGACCCAGTTTTCATCATCAAGTCAGTCTTGACCCAATTTGAGAGCCTTGTCAAACTGCAAGTTTGAGCTCCCTCCGAGTGTCATCTCTGAGGGCCCATGATGGCACATGTAAGACTATTTCTTAGAGCCAGTATCGACACCAACTTCCATGTTCATGTTGAACGGTTTCCCCTCAGATCATCCCAAGTTCAACATGAAAAGCCGGGCCTTGTCTCCTGGCTTCACATGTCACTCAAGGCGTCTTGGGGCTTCGCCAGTTTGCTCGCCGCTCCAACTGGGCCTTTGGGACCTTTGCCTTGGAAGACCTGCCAAACTTGGCAAATGACTTGTCAGCTCCCAAGCTGCAATCGGGCAGGAGATCAGGGATCCATTAGAGATGGATTAGATCAAGCATCCCAGTGACGACAGCAATCACTGCCCGGCTGGAGGACAGCCTCTCACTGGCAAGCAATCCCGGAGTAAATTCCATGGCTGCCGAGGGGAGTGTGCATTGTTGTTGAACACAATCAGTGAAATTCATATAGCAGTTGTTTTTCGTGGTATATTTTCCAAATTCACCAACGGTTATGGCCATGCCTGGTCCTCAAGTTTGCTTCAGACACACCATACTATACCCATACAACTTGTATAAGCTTCCTGGAGGTGAATTGGTGCACTTAGTGGATCCAGGTGGGGTGTATGGGTTCTAGATGCTTCTAGTATCCCTTGAGCCGGACTTACTGAAGTTCAACATATTTCAACTATATGCTTTTGAAACGGCAAAAGAATAACATCAATAATACAGGGTTATGCAGTATGCATATGGCGTTTTTATTGAGTGTTTTTTTGCTTGCTCTGCAGTGAGAACACCTGAGGCTGCCAAGATGATCGAAGGACAAGTTCCAGAGAGCATTGCTGGCTGCAACCTCCTGGCTTTTCCAGGTGAGTCCAACTTCAGTGGACTTCGGACAGACTTGTCATGTCTATCAGCTCTTCGCCAGGGTCCTCAGAGGTGGAGACTTCTTTTGGACGCCGCGAAGCTCGCATGTTCACCTGGAAGTCTGGATCTCAGCCAATGCCCTGCAGATTTCACCGTGATCTCCTTTTACAAGATCTTCGGATATCCCACGGGCCTAGGAGCTCTCCTCCTTCGCCACGATGCGGCACCGTGCCTTTTCCCCCGCGACGTCCACGGCCCCAGCGGCCCGTCGGGGCCGCTCTACTTCGCCGGCGGCTGCGTGTCTTCGGTCTCGGCCACGTCGAGCTTTGTGGTGCCCAGACCCTCCTTGTCACAGTGGATGGAGCGGGGCACTCCGCATTTCCAAGGGATTTTCACACTCTCAGTGCAACTGGCCACGGTGCGACGACTGGGCACCGACCTCGCTCGCAGTCGACATGCTTTGGCCGTGTGCCATGAAGCTTTCTTGCGCACCGCGCGCCTGCGACACAGCAACGGGCAGCGGCTCTGCCGGATCTTCGGAGCTCATGAGGAGATCCGCTGGGCTGAGCTGCAGGGGCCAACCTTGGCCTTGGAGCTGCACTATGCTGATTCTTCACCTGTGCCATATGGCCTGGTGGCTGAACGTGCGGCAGCTCGAAAGATCATGCTGCGGACAGGATGCCATTGCAATGCCGGAGCTTGTCAACGTTATTTAGATCTGAAGGATGGGGGGGGGGCGGCAATCTGACCGCTGGGATCGCTTGAGGAAGATGCAAAGATAGCACTATAATGGATGTATATAGTTCTTTAGATTCGTAACTGAGTTCCATTGGAGTTCCACACCACATTTGTCCTTGTATTTCGATGTATTTCCTTGGGACCCTCCACCCACCGGTGCATACCCCGGTGGATGTGTGGCTCCAGGACGAGGACATCCGGCACTTCCACGCCTCGGGGAAGGTCTGTGGCGATGATCGGGGCCTCATCGAGGGACGGTCCACGGGGATCGTCCGGGTGTCCTTCGGCCTCTACTCCACCATGGAGGATGCATGGCGCTCAACGGGCCAAAAACCTGGGAGAGATAACCAGATGAACACAGCCAGCATTGTAGTTAGATGCCGATTTCAAAAGTAGCAAAACCATTTGGGGAGTGCATGAAACTAATGGGACCAGGTGTGCAATAGATGGTTCTGAACACAAAAAGATCAGAGTTCTTAGTTTGGAGCGCTTCAATAGTGACATCCTTTCAGAATCAGTCCCATTTCGTGTTCGATTCCTTCAGCAGGGCACAAAACCCGGTGAAGACATCGCTCCTTCAGGATGTGTCCAGATGGATTGAGTTGCTGGTTGAGTTCCAAGATCTGCTTCCCACGGAACCGAAGATTTTGGCCGAGAACCTCGCGGCCACCAACCACTTGACGAATCCGACAGTCTCTGCATGGCCTCGTACGTCGATGGGAAGAGTGCGAGCAGTGAAGATCTATCCTGTGACATGGAAGGACTTGGGAGTTCTACTGCCACGTTTTTCTTTGGTTTTAGCAGGTTCGATTGCAACCTTGGGGGATCTCAAATTGACCATGGTGTTCCCGTTGACCACAGCAACTAGTCTTTAACAAGCACAACAATAGAGCTAACCTTTTCCATCTAGTCACGAGTTGCAACAACACTGACAGATAGACAGGATGATCACTCTTCTATCCTGAGGGCTACCGGTTTCTATATAGGTTTCTTGAACTGTGGACTCCACGTGGACTGTATAATAGTGTTAAACAAAATTGTTTACTGTACTCAATTCTTTGGTTCAAGATCACAGGTGATCCCCAGTTTCGAAACAAAGAACCACCAGCTTGCCCCAGCGGCCTGTTTCAGGTAAAGGGTTGTGGCCCTTTGCGCGTGAACCGCTGGCCTTTAGACCCCAGCGGCAGCTTGTTCTTGGACCGCCGCTGGTGTTTGTCGCTGGGAACTCGACGCTCCAAGCTGAGACCGGTGAGTGCCAAGCAGGCGCCACGGCTCACGACAGTGAGGATCTCGTTGAGAGACTTGGCTCCGATGACCGGCCCCCTTTGGGCATGTTTTCTTGTTTTACATGTGTTTTATTTTTTTTAAACCAGCCTGGACGTGTTCCTTTTGTCCAGATTCGCTTGCAGGTTTTAAATTGTTTGTCCAGATCGATTCTTGATTTGCTGGTAGTTGTGCTTTCGGCTGCATGCTTTGAAAGGAGGTCCCTCTTGCAAATCCAAGGAGGGCGGGGGAGGAGCTTTGTGTTGCTCCTCTCCAGCAAGTTTCATCCTGAGACCTTGGAGATTGCTCTGAGTGAGGAGGACTCAAAGATCCTGCAAGCCAATGGTGTAGCTGCAGATCCTTTGGATACCACGAGGAATGGAGCAAGGATGCATGAAGAGAAGCCAGCCGAAGCTGAACTGTTGAGTTTTTTGTGTTTTTCCTGCCCTCACCCAGAATTTGAGGGGACGAGGTGGTGGTTAGCTCATAAATCCACACCAGTCGGGATGCTGATTTGCTGGTGTTTCGCGGGGCTGGGACATTCATTATTTAACCGTTTGACCCGTGTAACAGCTGTGGGGTCTCCACTTGTGGACCTGAGATTGGTTATGGTTGGCCTTGGGAGAAGAGATTTCTGACGACGGTCTGACGATGAGCTTGGTGGCCAAAAACTCCCGAGAAAAGCACAACATGCACTGAAAACCGGCTGGTCTGTCCATTCACACCGACATGCCTGGATGCTTCAACCTAAACTTATTCCAAGCTATGATATCGTAGCTTAACTAAAAGTTGATGAGTACGACCTTTCGGGTTGAAACCCGAACTTGCGGTGCTCATGACCGATCTTTCCCCGCTTCCCATGGCTGAACCTCTAAGGATGCATCCAATGCTGATGCTTCCATCTGGTTTGAGCAGCTCTTGGACCTCAAGGACCTGCAACTGCGCTGTAGCTCCGACGGCACCGCCGGCACGGGCGAGGCACCCGCGCGGACGGACTTTGCCAACGCGCCCAAGACACTGCTGACGCTTGGGCGGGGAGGTTCGATGGGCCAGTGGTCGGACGAGGGCGATCACCCACTGAAGGACAGATCTTAGCAGATGTTTGGGTGATTTGTCTTCACTTTTTTTGTTGTTGTGTGCGCGCGCCACCTTCTCGTTGATGAACTTGAGTAATTAAGTCCCAGCATGGTTGCGTGGCCGAACGGGGCTAGGCTACCCTGTTCGGGACAGATGGCTGAGCAAGAAATCAAGCCTTGGGCGCAAATCGCATATCAACCCTTAAACCCTTTGCAAGCTAGCTTGCAGCTTGTTGGAGTGCACGAACATCTCCAGCAACTCATTCGGCTCTTTTCTTGCACCACCTCCTTCCACCACGTTTCCTGTGACAATCGATGCCAGATGAATCTCCCCCCAACCAACCCATGTATGAATAGCCCTTTTCGCCCCCTCCGGGAGCATCGAGGATGGTCTCCACGGCCTCCTTGCGACGCTTCGGCGAGCTTTGCGGCTTAGAGGTGCCGGCGGAGCGGTTCCGGGCCAACGTGGAGGTGGACTTCGAAGAGCCCTATGAGGAGCGGTGTTTTGAGGGCAGGTTATACTGAGGGGTAAGATGGAGATTATTTTGGATGGGAAGAGGGAAGAATTCGGGAAGATCCTGATTGCGGGGTCATGATCTTGAAGGATTTTTGGAGGGAGGGGTTGGGTTGAGGAGGTTGGGAGGTGGCACTTTTGGAGAGGGATTGGTGGAGCTTGGGGAGGAGGTAAGATTTAGGACGCCTGGACAAGCAGAAGAGGTGGAGACTTAAGACTTTGGGCAGCTGGGGAAGATGACTTGGAGGTTGGGGGATTGGACAGATGGATCAGAGAGGATCAGAGTGGGTTTGAAGAACAGTGGAAATATGAAGATTGATTTGGATGGTGTGAAGTGCAACTTCATGTGGAAAAGTCTCCAGATCTCCCGTTTCATGTAATTATCCTGTTCACGACATCCCAAGTTGCAAGCGCGCCACCATTGACTCCTGCCATTATCATTAGATATTCCATTGCAATCTCCGTCAAGACACGGCAACTAGTGATCCAAGCTCCTTCGATTTCTTTTGGCCTCCTTCCTCCATGGCAAAGAGAACTTCTTCATCCATCTTCCAACCTACTTTTGCTATTATTTAAACCAGGACCCGATCCTTCCCCATCCTCCCTCTGCCTTTCCACTTGGATCATTGCCTCTCATCCGCTTCAAGACGCAGGAGATGTCCTGGCCAGTGGGTTTGGCCCTTGGCCTCACCGACGAGCCCCACGTGGCGCCCGGTCGACTCCACTTCGAGGTGGCCGGGCGCTGCGTCCGGTGTCAAGCGGTGGACATCGACCCGGAGGACCCGGAGCGCTCCAGCGGCGTGTCGCTGCTGGCGGCCTTGGCCACGAGCCAAGTCAGCTCCGAGAGCTCCAAGGGGCCCACGTTTGGGGTTTTGCTCCGGAAGCGAGGCCACTGGCAAGAGAGGCCAATGCTGGAAGTGGGCATGTCATTAGAAGCTGAGGCGTAAGCTTGGATTAGACTTGAGCAAAAGGACGATGAGTTCAGTGCAGATGGCAAGCCATGACTTTAGACCGAGCTTTCTACAATTTGAAATCACTGTATATACTTATTACATAATCAGCAATTGTGTTTCCGCACTTCATGAGCATTGCTGGAATCCAAGCCTGGCCCCAATGTTGTTTTCCGGCCCGCTGCTGGCCGCCAGGGCGGCTTCTGTGGGAAAAGATTTGGTGCGTGATGGCTAGTGCAAGTTGTGTGCTAAAGGTCTTCTGGGACTTTAGCAGAGCGATGCTTCAGAAATCACCGTCACTGATGATGAAATGCAGAGGTGCAAAGCAGCCTCCCACCAGAGAGTGGTTTCTGTTATGAATCCAAATGAATCCAAAGAACACCAGGGGCTGAGCAGCAATCACCTAGGATGGCGCTCTGGCGAAAGACAGACATCTCATTTGGGAGAAGCTCTTCTCCCTCGAGGCAGGACGAAGCAACTTCTCCTGTGCGGTCACCCCATGTCACCCCCATGTCACCATTTGGTCTCTAAGTCTTATGATGACATGAAGAAACAAAACCGGTTTTGTCATGAAGTCTTACCGAACAACCCATGAGCGCTCACATCGTCTTCGATACCCAGCAGGTCCACCCAGCGATACGTTCCGCAGGTTCCGCAGGTCCACCGTGTTCCACCCCGCTCCAAACGACTCAGAGCTTCGCCTCCAGGATGGCGAGGAGGCTGCGGAGTTCTGCAAGGCAAAACTCCGTGGTGGTCTGGAGGGCCAGAGGTGTGGGGTGATTGGGTGACAAAAGAAGCGAGTTGCAGGCCAAGGGCTAGAGCTGGATGTGTCTAAAACCTTTCAAGTAACTTGTATTGGATTTCGTGGTGATGCTGAAGCTACAGGTCTGTTGACATTTGCATCGGCAATTTTATCAGGCAATTCACTTGTGTTAGACCCATGCAGCTGCAAGATAGAGCCCACAGAGATGTCTCTTCAAGGAACCTCGATGCATCTCTGGCCTTTCGATTCCTGATGCCATTGGGTATTCTTGAGAAGCAATCTGTGTTTTGGGTGGTATACTGCCCTGCACTTAACAAAGTCAAAAAATCACTTCCCTTATTTTTGACATGTTTAAATCTCCCTATGAGTTGGGGAGAAGGCTGCAATGTTTGGCTTGAACTCCCCAAACATAGGGCACCCCGTGAAGTCACAGCTTTCACTTTCTCTCTTTAGGACCCGTTGTGATTCGGTAGGGCATGGAACAAGCATGTGCTCTTTAGTACCATCCGTACAAACTTACAGCAGCAGTTCTGTTATTGAATCTCTGTCTACACATTCAAGCAAGGATATGATTCTCTAGAACATGTGGAAAGTCAAGTCTCTGACCACTGTTTGGACTTTCGGCGGATGATATGTTCTTTTCTTGCTGGTCACCCTGATTGAAACTATTTATTTTCAAAATGCAGCTGCACTTAAGGAAATCAGTGCAGTAAGGGGAGGGCATGCCATACCCCCCCCTTAGGGAGGTCGGTAGCGCTACCGACCTCAGTAAGCCCATGGCTCTCAATCAATGGGGCATGGTTTTTGCATTGATTTAAGCATCCCTGAATTATTTTCACCTGCACTTAAGGGAATCACATGGAGGCTTACTGCAGTCGGTAGCGCTACCGACTGCACTAAGGGGAGGGCATACCAAGCCCTGTCACTACTGAGGTGATTTCCTTAAGTGCAGGTATGAAACTTTTTGAATAGGTGAATTATTTTCAATTCTAAGTTCGAATTGGGGGAGATGGTCCACTATCAAAGGAGAGAGTAGGAGAGAGAGGGGCGTGAAGCCTGGCTGCCTGACCGATTGTTCATTTAACAACCAGAAGTGAGCTTTACGGCTACAGGACCGTTTGGCTGCATGACAGATCTCCGGTTTGGCTGCATGAGGGTCTCCTTTGCCCTTGTCCCATGGGCAGGTTAACCCACCTTTTCTATTCGGGCTTTAATGTTATTGATTGATTTTATTGGATTCATCATTGAGTACTTCCGAGCTGCGGTCCCAGCAGCAATTATTTTTAGATGCAGGAATGAAATTTTGACATCGTTAAGTGCGCCCCAGTATAGCAATACAGGGAGCGAGATGGGTCGGGATGCTTCAGGAACATCTTCGTCGAGGATTTTTTGATGAGGATGTGGATGTTGGAGAGGCTTGGAAAGGGACGACTCCAACGGAGGCTTCAATGAAACGAAGCGGAGGAATCTGCTTTCCCGCTGAGACGATGGGTGAGAGACCTCTCCAGCTGTGGAGACGCGTTCAAAGATTGACACAAACAGGATAGTATTTAGTTTCATCAGTTTCAGCAAGCTTCCATTGGTGGAGTCCCCGTCCTTGTGGATGGGTATGGCGTATTATGGCGTTAAGACATGATAAATTTCACTAGGCCACTAGGGCATGCAGTGCTTTGGTTGTTTTGGGGCTTGCAGTAGAGTCGTTCTTTTCATGGAGAACTTTAGAAAGCTTCTGACAAGAGGCTGAACAGACGGCATCTTTGATCCCCCACCGCTTCCGACTCAAAGCCAGGAGATCCGTGCCATGCTACAGAACATGTTTGGAGGCCATAACAGGGCTGAGTAGCTTGTCTCCGCCACAGTGGCAGAAGCCTTGCTTTGGCCAGGGAAGTGCCATTGAACCATGTAGCAAAGCTCAACATACTAATTAATTTGTGCCCCCTGCTGTCGAATGTTAATTTGGGAACACCCCAGTTCTACAAAAGCACAAAAGCCGCACATGAGCTCCCCTGTGATGCACTGTCGTTTCCACAACAACGCAACGACCCCTGCAAGACTTTAGGGTTGTTGAAGAGTGAACATGACATAGCATGGAGCAGTCTGATTGATCTTGAAGCTTGATTTGTTCTTCCATGCGTATGGAGTCGAAATGAGGAAGCACATAATGAGCGTTGTCGGACCGGCCAAAGCCCAGCGGAAAGAACCCGCTGGCAGGCTCTAGTAGCAGCCAATCCTCGCAGGCATGGCATGACAGGTGGTAACCACCCGCCCCAACACACCGGGGAGAAACCGCAGGGAACCGATGAATTTGGAACGGGTGTCTGGAAAAACATAAAAGATCATGAACGTCCTCCGTAAGAACACTAAGACATATTAAGAGTATTCCACAAACAATCGTTTTTTTTTACTTTTTCTGGGTTGCGTGTTCAGAAATGCTCATTGTCAAGAGACTACTGGATCTACTTCTACTGTCCACGTTCTATCCCGAACTGCCAGCTTCCGGGCCAAGTCCTGACATCTGCCATGCTTTGAAAGATTTGGAATGGCTTTCGGTACGAACCACAGCAGGGGTCTCTTTGGGTGACGCCAAGACGGCGACTCGATGTGACAGGATCCAAACCTTGAGCACTCGCAACCATCCTCTTTCGCGTTCACCTCCCAGCCTTTCGTGCAGCTTCATGTGTGGTGTGTTGTACTTTCATCACCAGCTTCATTGGACGTGTCAGTGACCTGAGGCCCTTCTCTGGAAAAGCACATCGATTGGAAGAGGCTCAGTGCCTCACCTTGGCTCCAGAAGTTCAACTCACTGAGATGTTGAATGATGCCTTCAAGGGAAGGTCCCAGGTTGTTTCACAAACCGTTGGCCCAAGTTCGCAGCACTCCAAGATCCAAGATCTTCTTGTGTTGGACCTCCGAGCCAGATTTTTGGTCAAAGATTCTGGTCATGTTTTTGGTTTCCAGTAGATGCCAAGTTTGCATCCTTCTTGCAGGATCCTCCAGCGAAGAACTCCTGGGTCAGCATACTCAGCGGCGATGCACTGGCTTTTGCGCTCAATCTTCGAGCCCCAAAGCTAGCGGGGAAGACAGTGATTCTATAGATGCAAACAAGGAAGGTATGTGAACAAAGCAGCCCATCAATGGAGATATGCAAAAATGAAGCTTTGAACAGCTTTTGTAACACGCTTGGGTCCAGTGTCTGAGCCAAAACCTCGGACATGCTCATGAACATGTGTGATCAGTTTGCTCAATTTGTTGCTGAGCTCATGGTCCAACCTGAGGGGTGAACACCCCCACCAAGCCAAATGGCAGTATAAAGTTCCTGCGGCTTGTGTGCTTTCTTCTCTGACAAGAAGAATGTGAAATACTCAGCAAGTGTGGCCAATACTGGGTAAGCAGAGCACCCCGCCTCCATGCTACCGTGCAAAGGACGGGGTGGACAAGTTTGGGCTACAATAGCTCACAAGGTCCTCTTTCCTGGCATTCTTTGTAGGAAGCATGATCGCAGGAAGCGATTCGGGATCAGTCTTAGAATCTTCAATTTGAGGCGCTGACCTTTGTCTCGAACCTGGAGGTGGCGCGCTCGAGTCGGAGGAGGTTCCGGACACACCAGTGTGACATGTTTCTTTTTTCTATTCTTATTCTTTTCCGTAGAATTGGTGGTTTAGGCCCAGAAACCTACCGCCAACTCAGAAATCTGTCATATAAAATATTCAGAGTTGTGATGGAACATATTGTTGTTGTGTAGACATTCAAAACATACTATGTGTGGCATTACGTAAACATCCGCCATCATCGCTGGATGTGTTCATGAAGCATGCTTGGAGGAGCCGTGAAGAGGCCAAAAGGAGTGGGCGGAGCTGAGCGTTGATTTCATGGACTAGGTGTTTGTTATGTTCAATGCCCAGTGACCAACACCAAGCTGAGGAGCAGGTATGAATTGATATTCGGAATATTCGTGTGATTTCTGCTTATCTTGTGTGCAAATGTCTGGGAACAGGGCTAATATGGGCTAATAAGACTTGGGAATAGGGTACTTGGTCCGGCAGGATCTACCGTTGGACCTTCAGTGCTCATGCCGTCAAAGAGACCAAGACAGATACTGCCAGCTACACCAAAGGCCTGCAGGAGCTGGTTCCTTGTGATTGATTTCAAGCCTCTAGGGGCGGTTTGCTTCTATGATTGAGGACGCTGTAAAAGGAATTGAGCACTGGCCTTCAGCATGAAGTGTTTGTGGGATCCCATTTAAGAGCGATGATTGCCCCGTTT